TCTATCTATCTACCTACCTCTTTTATCTATATTTCCATCTATCTATCTATCTCTCTCTCTCTCTCTATCTATCTATCTATGTATCTATCTATTATGTATCTATCTATATATCTATCGATCTCTTTTTCCATCTATCTATCCACCTACCTACCTATCTTTCTATCCATCTATCTTTATATCTATATACATATATGTATCTATATATATACCTATGTGTGAGTGTATCTCCCCACCTATCCATCTATCTATCTGCCTGTCTATCTACCTATCTATCTATCTCCATTTTCTCTATCTTTCATCTATCTATCTATCCGTCTATCTCTCTATCTATCTATCTATCTATCTATCTATCTACCTACTTCTTTTCATCTATCTGTCTATCTCTCTATCTATCTATCTATCTATCTATTTCATCTACGCATCTATCTATCTCCCTCTGTTTATCTATCTAGTCTATCGATCTATCGATCTATCTATCTATTTATCTATCAATGTGTACCTAAACTAGCGAAAGTGCCGCGCCTGCCACGAAATCTGTACTTGACCTTGCGAAAGCGCTGCGCCTGCCACGAATTTGGCACTTGGCCTTGCGAAAGTGCTGCGCCTGCCACGAAATCTACACTTGACCTTGCGAAAGTGCTGCGCCTGCCACGAAATCTGCACCTGACCGGCGGCGGGGTAGTGTCGACGACACTACACGAAAATCGACCCTCTGCGGGGATCGGCGTGGTCGAGGTGCAAAAACCCATGGTTTTTTACGATTTCTAAGGTTCCCGCGCGACCCTCTGCAGGGATCGGCGTGGTCGAGGTGCAAAAACTCGAGGTTTTTTGCGATTTCTGCGGTGCTCGCGCAACCCTCTGCGGGGATCGGCGTGGTCGAGGTGCAAAAACCCGAGATTTTTTTGCGATTTCTGCGGTGCTCGCGCAACCCTCTGCGGGGATCGGCGTGGTCGAGGTGCAAAAACCCATGGTTTTTTACGATTTCTAAAGTTCCCGCGCGACCCTCTGCAGGGATCGGCGTGGTCGAGGTGCAAAAACTCGAGGTTTTTTGCGATTTCTGCGGTGCTCGCGCAACCCTCTGCGGGAATCGGCGTGGTGGAGGTGCAAAAACTTGAGGTTTTTTGCGACTTTTGTTGTTCGAACTGGTCCTCGGGAGTTGTCTCGTGGTTCGCGCGCCTGCTCCCGGAACCGGCGGGGCGCGGGTTCGATTCCTCCCTGGTCCGCGGGCGGGCGTCGCAAGATGCAACTTGCATTTTAAAGCAACTTGCGCAGAGCAACTTGCGCAGAGCAAGTTGCACAGAGCAACTTGCGCAGACCAACTTGCACCGACCAGTTTGCGCAGAGCGCCTTGCCTAGAGCAACTTGCGCAGAGCAACTTACGCAGAGCAACTTGCACAGAGCAACTTGCACAGAGCAGCTTGCACAGAGCAACTTGCAGGGAGCGCAATTTGCACAGAGGAACTTGCAGGGAGCCACTTGCAGGGACCAACTTGCCGGAGCAACTTGCGCGGAGCAACTTGCGCAGAGCAACTTGCACAGTGCAACTTGCGTAGAGCAACTTGCGCAGACCAACTTGCACCGACCAGTTTGCGCAGAGCACCTTGCCTGGTGCTGTCTCGCGCTTGCTTCACGAATGCTTCGTGTAGGGAAAAAGAACGCATCCTGCAGCGTTGGGCCGACCTCGCTTGCGATGTTCTGCTTTCGGGCCAACCGTGGTCTAGTTTTTGGGGGGTGGGGCTGATGGACCGGACTAATTAGGGGGGCTTACTAATTGGGGGTGCAAGGGGCTAAGAACTTTCTAGTAAAGGATTTCTCAAGAAATCGACCATTTCAGAACACATTGTTTCTTGTGGATTGGGGCCCAAAAGCATCCACCAAGCTTCAAGATGAGAGTAGGAGGTGGAGATGACAGCCCTAAGCAAGGCAGCATGAAGAGAAAGGCATCAGAAGAAAGCATGAGCCCAATTGAGCCAAAGCACCTTTTCAAGACACCATCCAGAGAAAGCATGGCAAGCAGCATGAGTCCACAATCTTCAACATCAGCAGCATCAGCTAGCACCAAAAAGCATTTTACATTGAGAAAGTTTTTCAGCCCAGCCAGTGATGAGAAGACTGCATTGGCAGATGTGCCAGAGATTGCAGAGCTGCCCATTGAGAACGCGATGCCATGCAAAAAGAGAATGACCACAGAAGATGTCATTAGAAGAATGGCAGCAAAGGGTGAGCTGACCATCAAAGGGCAGCCCATTGAGATCAAGAAGCAAGAGATGCAGGAACTACAAAAGGAGATAGGGAGAAAGAATGGGATCTATGGCGGCAGGCCACAGAAAGCAGTGATAAGAGGAGTCCTGGGAGGAGCCAGCACCAATGCAAGGCAGAAGCATGAGAAACCTTTGAAGCATGAAATCCCATTGGAGGTCAAGCATAAGGTATGTGTGGAAATGTATGCAGCAAGACATGAACATGCAACTGAAGCAGAGCTCATCAAAGTTTTTGCAGAGAAGTGTTCCATCAGAGCTGACCAGCTCAAAGCAGTGTGGATTTCCAAAAGCAAATGGGCTGATGAGAGCGCCAAGCATGACAGCAGCAAAAGCAGATTCAGCATGAGAAGCAGGAATGCCATGAGCATTGGCAAAGGAGCCAAGAAGAAGACTGCAGAGAGATTGAGGGCATCAGGAGATTTGGTGGACAAGGTTGCCACATGGGTTGACATGGAGAGATGTCATGGGCATGCTGTTCTCAAGCGCCAGATCGCTTGGCAGAGGTCCCACTCCAAAGCACAGAAGCAGCTGCAGACCATGAGAAGAAGTGATAAGGCAAAGGCAAAGAGAGCTGATGTGATCGTTGGCTGGATTGGTGCAAAATATTGGATGCCCAATTTGGTGACCCAGATTACAGAGATTGAGCAGCAAACTCGTGCTGAACGCACATGGTGGCAAAAGAGATGCATCAGAATTGCAAGACATGTTTGCCAGACCTGAAGAAGCAGTCCAGCATATGAACTCATGTGTTCTGGCATTCAGCGATCAAGTGCCTCTTTGGGCAAAGAGGCAGACCGTGAGACAAGTCTTTGCAATTGGAAGAGCGTGAGTTGGACATTCCTTCTTCCAAGCTTTGGTAGGCAAGGCACTGCCATGGGGGCATCAGAGCATGTGCTCCTTGAAGCTGATGGGCTTCATAAAAAGAATAGGACTTTGCAGAGATGGCACAAGCATGATATCCTGCTAGATGCAGGGATCATATTTGAAGACCCTGCATTGCTGGACTCATGGGGTGAGTTGGAAGTCATCAAGCTTTTGTGCTAATATTAGTTAGCATTTTTGGACCCAGTCCGGTCATGTTTGTTCATTTGCTGATCTGAGGAAAGACCATTCAGATGTGGACATTGAGACTGTGGTCATTGCGTATGGTCTCATTAGATGGATGGCTACCAAAAAAGACAATGGAAGACATCCAGGATGTGGAGTTCACCCTCAATACATAAACCGAGGGCATCAGTTCATATGTGCTGAAGAAGATGAAGGGCGAGGCGCAGCAGGGTTGCATTTGTTGACCATTGTTTGTTTGACTTTTTTGACAACCCTGAGGCCAAATGCTTTCTCATGCCATTTGCTGCTGGTCACCATATTGTGCTCCTGGTAGTGGATTTGAGACCAGGCATATCCAAGCAGGAGCATGAGACACTGACAACTATGAGTGAGCCATGCTTGCACAAGGCGCATGCCATTTTGGCATGGCTTTTGAACAACGAAATCGTGAGGACTTTTTGATGAGGCCTCCATTGGATAGAACCAATGCCAGCATCAGGCAGCCAATTGGCTCCAATCTGTGTGGATGGCATGTCATGACCTACTTGGAAATGGAGGTTGCCATGTTGACTGGACATGGCCCTGCTGCCATTGGGTGGCCTGAAGAGGCCATGCAAGCTTGGCATGCCAGGATGCAGAAATTCATGCCCCAGTTGCAGAAGGAGATAGACATGAAGAAGAAAGATGTTGCCAATGGCATTGCTCTATTGGCATGCAACAAAATGAAGAAGGGTGAGGCATTGACTTCATTGCAGATTGAGGCCATGGCCATTGTGAATGAGAATTCCAAGCTGCAGATTTCAGATTTGCCTGCAGAGTATCACAAGGCCATTGAGAAACTCAAACACTATGAGGTGGGAGTGTGCAGTAGACGCAGGTTCCAATCAGGCTGCTTATCATGCAGCATTGAGAAGCGCACAGCCTATTGGGTGAGGAGGGAAGGCAAGAGATTAGGAAGAAGCATATGTGAGTTGTGCATATGGATGACATTTTCAGCCATTTCTAAGAAATGAGCTCAAGAAGCAGTGGAGAAAATGAGATAGCAGCAGCCATCTGGGGGAGGGACCGGTCTAATTGGGGGGGGTTGAGGGTGGTTTTTCTGAGATATGAATTGTTTGGTATTGGGGGGGTCCACCCGGACCGGATTAATAGGGGGGATTACTAATACACTGTTAACATTAGTGCACACGGCTGTGTGAAGCGCCGCCCTGTTGTTGCCATGATATGGCGCCAACAGCACAGCCTGCTGCTCCCAGCTTCGGCAAGGAGCCCCACACGAAAGTGAGAAGACAAGTGCTTCCGCGCCGATGCAACAAAGATCCACCAGAGCTGCTGTCTCTGATCCAGCTCCATGATGCGATGACCCATCTTGAAGGAGTTAAAGGCCGAGCGAAAGGCAAATGACCGGCGGGCTCAAAAGCAGCAGCCGAAACAATACAGACGAAAAGTCCTGCGCAGATGTCTTCCGACTGAATCCCAAAGACCACCCCGTCAGGGATACGGGTACCAAGGAATGTGCTATCACCGCCGAGAGCGAAGCTCAAATCCACCAAAGATCATAGAATCCATGGCCAGAAGAAACAGGGTCCGCTGTCTCAGCTCTTGCGCCGAGAGCTGTGACATTGTGTTTCTATTTGTTTCAACATGTTTCTCTCTAACACATGGGCCTTCGGCTGACTTGCACTGAGGCGCTCATGGATTCCATGGTCCAGGCCGGCTTCAGCAGGTCCGCGAAGTCCAGGTCCGCGGTCTTTGGGTTGTCCTTGAGGTAGCCCTTGGGCCTGGAAGTCCGTTTCGACACAGGATTGGAATCAAAGCTTCCCCGTAGGATTGCAATCCTATCCCCAAAAGAAATGTCAAGCGTACTTGCCTTGAATGCAGTCGATTGGCAAACCGCCCCGGTTCCCCCCAGCCCCGCAAGCTTCTGAAAATAAGGCTTTCCCAACATGGGTTCTTTCAGTTCTTGCTTTCCCGTTGAACCATCCAAAAGGGGAGCTCCCCTGTTTCGGAAACGGATCACGTTATACTTCTCACTTACACGGGAAGCCTGGCTGCCCCCTGTAAAAAGCCCTGTAAAAAAAAGAGTTTTGTCAGGGCGAGGGTGTGCTTTTTAAAATAAGAATTGGACCCCAAAATTGCCTTTAAGTTCAGTTTGAGCTCAAGCTTCGTCCAAATCATCGCAGCTTGATTTCGTTTTCGTGTCCGGGTTGCTTGGCAAAAGCCTGCTAAGTCAGACCTTTTACCAAGCGAAAGCAAGCCAACGAGCGAAGCCCCCGGAGTACGAAACGCAGGGCATGGGGAAGCGCAGCAAAGCAAGCGACATGAAGCCAAGCCAAGGGAAGCACAGCAAAAGCCCTCAAAGTACGCAAAGCGATTGAAGCAACGCCAAAGCGCAAGGCTATGCGACACAGAGCAAGTCGAAGACCGTTGCCAAAAGCGTGGTGCATGTGAAGCAAGCTGCCCAGCGCAGCAAAACAGAGCGGCTGAACAGCCCCGCCTCAGCAGGTCAGTGCGGCCGATGAGATCCGTGAATTTCTTGATACCCAGCGAGGCCATGATCTCCCGTGCCTCCTGAAAGTGGGTCAGCAAATGGTGTCCCCAAACCAGGAAACAGAGAAGCCAGAATAGAAAACACACCCGAATCCCAAAAACACACACACACGCCATACGCCGGGTCCCAGCATGGAAACTGATGGGAAGCCCTTGAGGAGTTGCCTTGGGTTTTTTGAAAGTCGGGTCATAACACAAATCCGATCAAATCTGAATAAAAAGTCAAGCCTCGACGCCAGGCCAAGAGGGCAACTGGGTGGCATTGGCAACGAAACACCAAGGAATCAAAAACTACCTTTAATCTTTTTCAACACGCCGCTTCATCCACCGTGCGCATGAGAGGACAACCAGCCAACTATGCGCGCGCAGCTTTGTTGGACAAAGCACCCGGCCAATTGACCAGATCTAATCCAGGGGCACCTTGCCAAACTCGTCTTTTGCCGCACGATTGATTGGAACCCGCTTCGCCAACCGGGCTTGCTTTCTGGTTGGCACCTGGTGGCCTGCCCCGTTCGGTTTGGGGTAATTACGGAAGGAGAACCTGACGTCAAAAATCAAATATGGGTCGGCGCAACCGGACATGGTAAGTGTTCCAAATGATCCCTCTTGCAACAAACGCCCGGTTGCGTAACAGTTGATGATGGGCGCCTGAACATGCAGACAGCTGTCCAAGGGGGTGATTGCTAAGGTCGTTGTCAGACTGGATGGTGATTTACTCCCACCAAGTTGATCTTTCCGTGTGGCCGTTGGGGAGCCGTTCCTCGGCGACCAGGAAGAGGAAGTTGATGAGGTGCTCGGGTTGCCCGGTGAACTTCTTCCGCAGTTCTGGGTCCTGGGTCGCCACACCCACCGGGCAGGTGTTCAAGTGGCACTTTCCTCGGACAGCGCGCAGGGTCGCTGCAAAAAGGGCATGTTCCCATGGAAATCATGAGAAATCAACGAAACCAACAAGCCAGCCGTAGACATTTGCTTGCAAACGATTACCAGGGCCCCGTCTGACGTTGAGCACCTTCAAGCGGCAACTGGTGTTTTGTTTTTGGTGTGCTGCAATAAACACTGCGTACCTGGCTTACAGGTCTCCACGGCCTAAACGCTTATGGCTGGCCCAAGCGGCTCATCATGATGCAGCCCAAGGTGATCAGCGGCGCCGTGGTCATTGCGATCTCCTGCAACAACTTGCGCCGTCTGGTGCGGGAAAGGGCCTTTTTCTGTGATACCGTCAATTGGATTCCCATCCAACCATGCTTAGTTATCACAACAAGAACGATTCTCTTGTTAGGGCTTCGCCTCCATCCCCAGTCGCCTCAGCACCCAGCATGGCCGCGATGACCACGTCCCGCCCGGTACGCACCTGGCCGTCTGTCTGCAGCGTCACGCGGTTCCTGCCAGGCGCGCGCCGCTTTCCCAGCACGGGGGCTTTATTGTCTTTTTGGCCTTTTCACTCTGTCACACTCATAACACTCAGCGATCCGGGGTTTGCCTTTTGACCGTCTCTTGGAGGGTTCCACACTTTGGAGCCCCCTTATTTTCCTGACATGTTCTTAGCAAAGGTTGTGGGCGGGTCCCACAGTCTCTCCTAATTTGTGAAGCTTGCTCAGGAGCAAGCTTGCACACCGAAGCAACACCAAGGACACGGAAAAACCCAAATGCTATTGAAAAAAAACAAAAACAGTTGAACCTTGTCTTGGACAAGTCAGCGTATGGACGTCGGCTGCACACGTCACGCCACGCCTGAGACCATTGAGAACCAGGGTCTGATGGGTCTCTGCCAGGCCGATCTCCCACGGCAAGCCTCAGCCAGTGCGCTGTTGGTTGAGGAGTTCCTTTACGCAACAAACATTGACGCAAGCAATTGCGCCGAACATCATCGCTGTCCAACTTGTGTCACCACAACGCTGCCCGCATCACTACATGCTTTCAACATGATCGGGGTGCTGTTTGTGATATCGCAATGCTCCTGCGAAATTCATTTTGATGATGGTGGATTGATCTGTTTCGGAGAAGCAACCTCAACATTGCATCAACCTGTGGGTTCGACCTGGCCAGTTGTCACGGGGCCTGGCAGCGTGAACCACCTGGCATTCCACTCATGCCACCCAGCTTGTTGCGCAAGCGCCCAAAAGATGGCAGGGGGCAGAGAGGCAATAGCGGGAAGTAGGTTGGATTGTTGCACAGGCATGTCGCTGACTTCAGTTTCCCCTGAAATCGCGCGAGTGAGCAGGTTGTCGCGGAATCGGCAATATAATCCGCGCAACATTCTGGTCACGCGGTCAACATTTTGCTAACCAGCCCAAACGTTTAGGCTCCTATTTGAACATTGCCACTTGTTGGTCATTTTCTCTCCTCTGTTCTGGTTGCTATTTTGAGTTCTTGGTACATTGGTATAATGATTCTTTTGCTAGAATTCTCATTTTCGTGCTTCATGTCATTCTTAATCTCATCTTTCGCTTCTGGTTCAACGACTCTTACGGTCTTAGGTTTCACTTCCAACTGTTCGGGCGGTGCCTTACAAAATTTTGCATGAGTCAATCCCAAACTCTTCGCTGTCATCTTCTTCAAACAACGTTCAAAATCAAAGAGTTCAGCAGTTGTTGAAGTCTGGGCGCCAGCTTCGCTTTGGCTTTGGTCTCCGTATTATTCTTCTTTTGCGTCTTCTTCTTTCACTTCTTCTTTTGCTGCTTCTTGTGTTTCTGCAATACTTGTTTCGTACTGTTGAACTACTTCATATTAACAAGTTGTTCTTCTGTTTTTACTTCACCCGTAACTTCTTCATTAACATCAACAAGTTCAATACGGGTCATCGGACTTTGCTGAGGAATTCGTATTGAGACCTACCTAAACTGCACCGTTTTAAACAAATAGCAATGAACATGCAACGTTCGCCCCATTCGATATAACTCCACTACCTAATTAACTAGATAACCGAAAGCCTTACTGCTTAAATGCTCTGATTGACACATCCAAGAACCCGAGAAGGCTGAATTCTGATTCGGATATAATACCGCATGAGGTGCTGCAACTGGCGCCACCATTGTGCCGCCCCCCTCCTTTAACTTAACAATAGTAGTATGATAATTGAGAAGTATGAGCACACATGTTTCGCATGGGCTCCAAAAGACCAGAAGCATAAGGCGTGCCATACCGATATGCCGCAATTGGATAATTTGCAAAAGCGAGGCAAAATGAGGTGACATCATTTGCACGCTGGTCGGATTTGGTCTGGGGTCAGTGCCGAGGTATGATCTTGCTATCGCTACGCCTCGGCGGACCAAACCCCGCTGGCACGGCCCCCGGCGCCCTGCGTGACCCGTTTCCGGCACCATCTGCTACGCAAGGGGCCGCAATGCTTGATGGAGCCCCACTTGGCCGCGCCAGTTCCGCCGGACATGCCGGAGATGGTGAGGTGATCCGCCTTGCCCTTGACGACGCCTGCCATCAGCCGAAACACTCTGTTTGTTGGTCCAACATTAATCCCATGTCACAAAGCGGGCACCAAGTTTAGGGAGCTCAGGACAGGATACTTGGAAGGAGGCACGTGGTTTGATGCTACGAAACACAAAAACCAAAAAGGGGCCCAAATGCACAGCTCAGCGCCGCACACTTTTTTCTTGAGCCAAATGTCATGGTCGAGTGTGCTTCACTCACACTCCCCCTTGCTGTTATTTACAGCAACATCTAACCTGAGCCTAACGCCCAGTTGACAAAATGCGCAAGCCGCGGATCCACATCTTGGACGGCCGCGGTGCTTATCGCCCAGCGAACAAAGTCTGGATGATCACTGGCGATCTGGTCGTAGGTCTTCCCACGGTGCTTGCTGATCTGCAAAATGGTGTCGCCGATCTGCACCGGGTTGATGCTGGCCGTGTGAACCGGTCCCGCCGCGTTCGCTCTTCGCACCGCGCTTGACGAAGATCCTCCTTCTTGGCTTCCCCGGCCAGAACCGCTGCCAGGTTCTGCGGCATCTCCATGAGGCCACATAGCCAGCGGCATAGGTGGTATCGGTTCCAAGGGATGAAGCCTGAATTCTCCAGGTCCCTTGAATCCACCTCCGCGTTCAACCTCCTCTCTCCGTTCCAAGAAGCAGTGCCTCCTCCAAGACTGCTCCGCCATGTTCTTGAAATACCTCCTCCGAGCAGGGTCATCAAGAGCACCCACCGGCACCATGACATCCTGCAAGCGTCCATGGGCTCCGATGGTCCTACAAGCTACTTCCCTACCGTGGAGCCTCGACAGGCTATTGGTGAGACTCCTGGTTTCAGGCTGACTGTCCTGTCTGTCCAAGTCCTGTCCGTTTGTGGAGCCGCTTTCCACTTGGTCTCTTTCAGTGGGCCCTTCGGCCTCTTCATGCGGATCTTGATACTTCACCTCTTGTTTAGAGCTCCCCGGGAAACCCCTCTTAGTACGTCCTCGTACACTACGCTTGTCTGCCGTCTCTGTTCCAACCTTTCCAGAGAAACACCCGGTGGCAAGTCCAGTGCTTGAGGTTGATAGTCTCGGTGCCAGGACAACATGTGGACTCGCGTCAAAACAACCTCCGATTTCCCTGTCTGCACGTCCCAAAAGTCCCCCGGTTCCTCTTCAACCGATGGCTTCTCCACCCCTCCGAACAGCTTTTCCACCACCATCCAAGAGCCATGGCTGACGATTCACAAAACCCTCAGCTTCTACAGGGCAGCCCTCAGGGCAGTGGTTGAACGCCTGGTTCATCTTCCCTAGGCATCTTGTTCGAGAACTCAGGTTCATGTTCCCTTGAGTTCTCCGCGGGGGGCCTGGTTCAGGGACCCTAGGTCTTTCCCGCGTTGGGGTGTCCGGTTCAGGGACCCTGGACATTTCCCCTGCCCCTGGTTCATTTTCGCTGGGAGATCTTCTTCCTTCTTTCGTGATCTTCTTGACACTGTGGCCCCGATTGATCTGGGTGGCCACATAAGCAACACCTAGCTACCTTGCCCATGATCAAGCCCAGTCCTGCCAATTTCAGCTTGTTCACATTCTCCGTCGAACACTTTCCCGACGCCGACCTTTCCGCCTTCCCCAAGTCTACCTTGACCATCCCGGCCAGCTCGTAGAACTTAGGCCATTGAGCCTTTGCCGTCATAGCTTTCGTGAGATGATCCGCAACCAGCCGCGTGCCCGGTAGATGCCGAACAGCCCATCGTCCACCCTTCACTTTTTCTCTAAGCACTTCGGCACGTAGGCGAAGATGACGAGTGCGCCATGGTCCGTCAGCACTCCCGATGATCGTGATGGCGCTCGAGTTGTCCCCGTGCACCACGAAGTCCCCGCCTCGACCCACACCAGAGTCTCGACCGGCTTGAACCCTCTCCCGATCATTGCCACAACGGACACCCGCGCCTTCACGAAATCCCGCCGGTAGCTGCTCCTTCTCATCTTCATAATCTCCTTGTTCATCTTCCAGGAGAGCATCCATGTCTTGAACCTCTCTTTCATATAGTCTCTCTCCATGTTGAATTAGGTCTCGATAGACCGATTCCTGTCGCTGGGCCACATCGACGAGAATGTCGTCCCAAGCCCCGTCCTCCAGGATGCCCAGCACAACCGCTACCGACTGGCCCATCGTCATGGCCTCCAAGTAGCCGACCAACTCCGCTTCCGCCGTACTCAAGGTGGTGAACACCTGCCTCACAGAAAGCCACTGCACCAACCCCCAAAGCATGCCATCACCCCTTGATGACCCCGACCTCCGCCAGGTGCGTAAGACACATCCGCGTAGAGCTCGATGCGGTTCATGCCATGGGCAAAGGGCAACGCTCCATCAACACCACGACCTCCAACACACCTTTCATAGCACAGTCCCAGTGACTGCGTACCCAGCAGGTAGCCGACCATCTCTTCCGCTGCCTTTACCACCAGCTGAGGGCAACCCCGAAGGAGATGTCTGGCCTTGTTCTAACTGAAAGCCACAGAAGCTCCCCTACCAGGCCTTGCGCCTTCTTAACGTCCTCTGCATTCACATCTGCGCCTTCCGGCACCTCCGGCTTGGAGAACGGGACTGGCCTAGGTTGTTGAACTCCATGTCGTTGAGCAAGTTCCCCAATATAGGAAGGTTGCCCTAGAAGAAGTCCCCGTTCACCCCATCGCAGCTCGAAGCCGCAGAACTTAATCCACTTCTCCAAGCTAACCCACTCCGGCTGGCTATAGGACCATTCCCTGGCAATGCGGTCTAGACATCCTTGAACTACACTGTCCGGTCCACAAACCATCATGTCGTCCACGTAGACCACCAATTGGCCCACGACCTTGCCACTCTTGCCGCCGTTCTTCTTCTCCACCACGGACCATAGATTTGACTCCGAGGTTGATATCAACGAGTAGTGGGCACCACCATTCTGCCAAGTGAAGTTCTTCAGGGATGCGTCCCGGAAAGCCGCCCAATCTGCCGGAGAGCTATCCAGTCCATACATCGCCCCCTTTACCCACCACCTTTCCTTTGGGCCACATAGCCCTGCTCGCAGGAGAATCTGCGGAGGCCGCGTAATTAACGTCCTTCTCGTCTCCTTTCTTGGTGCTAGGAGGAATGCGCCCTTCACGTCCACCGCCGCAATTCCCCACTTCTCGCTGTTCATATCTACGGGCGTCTGCTCCTTCTCGCCGTTCATAGCTGTGAGCATGTGCCCGCAGATGACCACTCAAGCCCGGTGCCGACCATGAGGAGCCTTGATAGTAGTGACCAGCTTGGCACTCCTCTTCCATAGCCGGCCCACTTTTCCAAGTCCAGTCGAACGAGCTCAGTGGACCGTGTACGTCTGCAGCACCTTCTCCATCTCCCCCGGGCCTGCCGCCTGCATGGAGCACAACCGGCTGATGCCCTCCACCTCCTGATCCCTAAGGAATTCAAGCTCTTCCTCCGCCTGCGACAGCTCTTTGGAGAGGTAGTCCATGACAATGGCCTGCGCCGCACCTCCGTCCTCATTCAGGGAAACCCGTTTCAGCTCCTCTCCATAGTGCCTTCTGCACTTCCAATATCTTTCTCCCAGGGCTTCCCGGTATTCCTCCACGTTCCAATCCAGCGGCCATGACGACCTCCAGATTGATGTTTCCGGCTTCCAACCACCGGGTAGCGCTCGTTCTTTCCACGTAGGCAGTGCCATTTCCGCTTTTTCCGCCTGAACTTTTTCACCATTTTCATCATCATCTCCGTACTCCCCCCCCCCGCGTAGAGCGGGTTCTCCTTGTCCTGCACCACCCTCTGCATCTCTTAGGCGAGGAACTCCCCCCGGCTCGAGGCTTTGCTTGCCTCGACATCTCCTCCATGGTTTACCAGGCTTCGGGTCTATGGTGAGCTCGTACATGGCTCGGTCAGCGAGCGGTTCTCGCAAAATCGCCGCCCGCGCATGTTGAACATTACCATCCGCGGTCTGGACCACCCAGCCCCACATCATAGTTGGGCTGGGTCCCAGCAACCTCACTTCCTTGAAGGGCGCTGCCAAACCACCACTCTTGTGCCAGCGTTTTGTCTTGACCATCACCTCCGCGTAGTAGGGCAACGTCGGCATCGGAGTGATCCCCAGGTTCTTGAGCTGGTCCTGCATGCGTTCCAGCGCCACATGTCTTATTGCCGTCGGCCACAAGCGAATAGGCGCCCCGGATGCTTTGAGAGTCACTCGCAGCCTTCTTTTCAACTGGCAGATCTCGCCCTCCACTCGTCCGTTTGCAGCACGGTCATCCCCACCAGTGAGCGTGAGGATCATGTTGCGTTCAGCGCACCACTGCTTCGCAAGGAACTCCTTGGCTCTGTCGCAGTTAAGTGGTCCATCGCTACTCGTTCTTGGAGCCAGAGATATCTGGTCTGTATATGTCTAGCCCTGCCTAGTCCGATCCTATTTACAGTGCCTTTAGCAGCAGTAGCGTCTGATTTGACCACTACAGAAATGGGAACTTGAAAATCTTCGAACAAGGATTGCAACCCTAGTGTCCTACTGATCCACCCTTCACCAAAGCATGGTACTCGGACTTGCCAGTCGATAGGGCAATCGTGGACTGCACGTTGCTCGCGTTGCTTCAAGACATGTTCGCCATACAAAGAGATCATACCTGTCGTAGACCGACGGGTGACCGCGACACCAGCGGTCGGAGCCAACCTGAACCCGCAGCTTCGACGGCTTTGCCTGTCTAGAAAACACTTGGCTAATATCAGGTTTCTTGACCAAATACCTGCATAGCCGCTTCAAGTCTTGCAGAGATGCTTCGCTCGGCACAACCATCTTCCTGAAAAAAATCAGGCCTGTCCTGACTCAAATACGCCGCACGCATCACACATGACCGTCACATGACCTGTGCATGGATGCACGTCCACAGACTTCTTCATCTCAAATGTTTCCGCACCCTTTGCGCTCGCCATGCTAAGCTGTTGAACTAGTAGATCAACATGCCGTCTGTCTAGCTCTAAGAAAATAGCGCTGGATCCTTGGCAAAATCCGCAACGGATCAAACGATTCAAGAAACGAACCCCCTTGTCGTTGCTGACCTCGTCTCCCAAGGCTCCGAGCTACTTCAACTCATAAGAAGTCTTGAGGATTTCGTTCAAACTGAAGTACTTCTTGATCTCCCAACGCCATGAAGTCATCCCCACGCGCAAGTACCCTGGTGGCAGAAAACAGAACCGCTGGAGCGTCCCAGGTTGTTGTTTCGTGTAGTGGGCTTGCCAAATAGCCGGGGCGTCCTGTGTCCCATACATTGAATTCTTCAGCAACCCAACCATGCCAAGGCATTGTTCTCTTCGGGCGTCTCGCTGCGGCGGAGACTTTATCGTTGGTGGCGAACAGCAGGTTCTGCGGCAGTTTGTCCTCTGCCTTCTTGGCTGCCTCGGCAGTGAGCGCGTCCAGAGCGGCCTGAACGCCAAGCAATTGGAGCTGCTGCGGGTGGTGGAAAGGGTTCTGGTCGAGCTAGAGCTGGTGCCGCCGGACCACGAGATTGCTCTGCGGCGGGAGCCCCTGGCCTGGCTTCTGCACGGCCCGCCGGGCACTGGAAAGTCTCACGTCTTGAAGTTCTTGCGGGAGTTGTTTGAGGAGCAACTTGGCCGCAGGCATTTTGTGGAGGGTCCGCCCGCGAATGTTGGCCGCGTTGACGGCTTGGAACGCCGTGACCTGCCGCGAAGCGATTTGGCAAGGGGCGGCGAAGCAGCAAGCCGGAACTCGCGCGCGCCTCGTAGTCGATCCCCTGCGCGGATCTAAATAAAGTTCGGGCGCGCTCCCGTTTATTGGTGTCTAGCCAACGCACGCCGATAGGCTTGCGTCCGCCGGTGTCCTGGAGGCATTGCTTCAGCGGGACTTTCTCATACACCCCTTGCTTGTGGAGATACACCATCTCCATTTGTCTGGCTTTCTTGGTCCTCTATGTCTTGTTCTCAGCAACAGGTCCTGAGGTTGCTTGTTCTGAAGCACTGAGTTGGCCTGTCTGTACAAGGTGGGCTTTCAGTCTGGGAGTGGTGATTGAATTGAGCTGGTCGTGCGTGATGTCCATCTCATACGCCTTGTAAGCTCGTTCAACTTCCCCTCAAGCATGTTCTTCACCATGGTTTTCAAACGACTCAGACTCAGTCCGCTTGCGTCCAAGGGCCTTGCCTGCTCGGTTGAAACTCCGGCTCCTGCAGCCGGTGTGGTCTCCTACCGACCCACTGTTACCGGCTGGAACAGCCGGCTCTCCTGCAGCTTCTTCCGCAGTGACATCCTTGTCTTCCTGCGCAACCTTGCGCTTCCTCTTGCGCTCTTCAATTCGCTGACGTCCTTGTTCATCATCTAGCATGAGTCCTATAATCCTTGCTCTGCATGATTCCAAATGTCCTGGCAGCACACGGACAACCGTCCGTTGATCCATACTTCTCCACATCAGCCTTGTTGATGTAGATTCTCCTTTGCTGAGGTGGCGCCAATGACGTGGAATAGCGGTGGTGGAACTTCTAACCTGTCCTCGCTCACCAGCACTTTGGCCCTTGGTGTGCCTGGGGCGCGCCTTGCACGCATGCGGCGCAAGCGTGTCGCTGGGTCGCTTGGCTAGAAGGCGCTTGCGCTCTGGGAGAAGTGTGCGCAAAGAGAAAGGAAAAGTTGCGCGCGAGGGTTGACTTTGCTGGACACATGTAGGGTCTTGCCCGAGTCGCCCGCCAGGAGGGGGGCCAAAACCAGGGACCAAAGTTTTAGGGCAAAGTTTCCGCGTCGCGAACGGTGGTCCATTTTTTGGGAATGTGTTTGGCGCCAGGTTTGAGAACCAAAGTTATGCCCTCTCGTGCGCAGCCCTGCAGCAGCGCTTGCGACCCCAGGCCCGACCCGCGTGCTTCAACTCACATGCTGCCAGTGCATCTCAAGCGCGACGCCTTCCGAAGCGCAACGGCAGAACACGCAAGTCATTGTTTCTCAAGCTGTCGGCTGCGGAACTCATTCACAGTGAATTCAAAACCGCGACTGACTGAGATTGCAACGCAGCTCCAAAGCCTGTTCAGCACGGCCGTCTGGCACCTACGCTGCGGGCGCCGGCGAGCCGTGTTCGGGCAAATGTTCAAGGCGTTGTCGGCCCGCCAAACTGCGGAAGGCGTCGCGCTTGAGACGCACTGGCAGCGCGTGAGTTGAAGCACGCGGGTCGGGCCTGGGGTCGCAAGCGCTGCTGCAGGGCTGCGCACGAGAGGGCATAACTTTGGTTCTCAAACCTGGCGCCAAACACATTCCCAAAAAATGGACCACCGTTCGCGACGCGGAAACTTTGCCCTAAAACTTGGAGCGATCTCCCACGGAAGTCCCTTCAACTGGTCCCGGTCCAACGGTCGCACTTGCGTCTGACCGATGTACCGACCCTCCTTGAGTGGTCGGACTCCTTCAGCAATGGCTGCCCAATTCCTTCCGCAATTTCGGTGTTCCGGGATCTGCGTGCCTAAGTACCACGCCAAGACCGGGCCATCATCGCGAAGAAGCCCACACCTTATGCGGTGAAGTTCTTTGCGAACTTCCTACCTAGGCTATCGACGCGCCGTCATGATGAGTGACGGAGAGCATGCAGTGGTTTTGAAAGAACAAGCTGCTCAGGAAGCAGGATTGGAAATGGTTCCACAGGAGCAACCTGCTGGTGGTCATAGGCAACGGACTAGCGCAAAACGTGGCTGCAGTCGACAGCGTCTTGCTCCTTGATGACGAGGATGGGTCGTGCCTTCCCGTATTCCTTTCCATCCTGCGTCATCCACGTGTAATCACACGCATATTTCAAGCTGGGCTTCTTCAGGATTGCTTCCCTCTGCTGGCAAGACAATGTCTACACCAGCTCCTGCGCTGCACCCTGGTCAGTGCCCTTGCCACTAGTCCTCGAGTTGTAGGCACCCTTCTCCTTCCTTTCCTGATAGACCGGGTTCATGCCTTAGCCTGTTCCTGGGTCTGCTCCTTCTCAATCAACTCCAGGATCTTCCTTTTCTTTGGAGTTGCGGGATCAAACTCCAAGCGAAGCCATACTGGTGGGTCCTGTCACACTGCACATCGCTCTGCTCCTTGGAGCAGCTCTCCTAAGGCAGTCTTGAACAACACATCCGTACCTTCCTTGCCCTGCGCCTTGTCCTGCTGAGCTGAACCCGTGCCCAGTGCACCTTTGCACCCTTGGACTTGCCCTTAAGTTTAAGCTGTCCGCCTTTGTTTGAGCCTTTGGTTGAGCCTCTGCCCAGTTGCTCCAGCAGTCCGCAGCCCTATGTCCTAATTTGCCACACTGGCTAGGCAACCTTCCTTTCGCGCCAACAGCTGACTCGATCAAGACCTCAGTTTCAGCCTTCATGTCGGAATAGGTGTTCAGGCGGCTTTTTGTTGATCTAACTGGAAACATCATCTCTAGCGCAGCTCCCTTTGCCAGTCGTTCGTCTCCGAACAAGATCCAGGAACCCGTTGGAACAAAGAAATCGGTAAAACTGGTCTCCCTCGTCAGCGAGCGGAGGAACTGAAGTCAGAGGCGGAAGGCCCCGAAGAAGATGCCTGTGTGCCGCCCAGGAGGCAACGCCCTTGCCGGACGTGTAAAGATGGCAAGTGCGGAAGACATGGCTTAGCTCAGGGTCACTGTTCACCAATTGCTTGAGGAAAAGACAGCGTTGCAAGCCACTCAGGGGCACAGGCATCACAGCAGCACAAGGCATAGGTGAATTGGCACAGGCGTTTAGGAGACATGAGGTTCGGAAGCTTCTTGCTCACTTGGTTCCTCCATACGAGAGCTTCGATCCACATTGTCCTTGTTGGCTGGCTGCTTCTGCGGCCTGCTGCTTCCTCAGCCGCTGAACCGGCTGAGGCTCCTTTGCGCCAGGGAAGGGTCTCCCTGGCTGACGCCCTTCGCGCCTTTCGCGCCTTGCGGTGCCAGATGCCTCGTCTGCCTGGATTCCTCACTGGTTCCCACTACCACGAAAAGCAACTTATTCAGCTCTAGGTCCGCTGCGGCCTTGAGCCAAAACACAGAGTCACACAACCTGCACATGCGTGTTGGGCAACTGGAGCAACAATTTGTCAATGTTTGGAAACAGTATAGCATGTAAAGAGCATTTGTTGACTGGATGTTAAGCCACGTTGTTGGCTGGGGGTGTGAAACTTCTTGTCTTTTGCTATATCTATGTTGTAAACAGCAGCTTTGACAGGTCCGTGTAAAACGGTAAACTGTTGTGAGTCATAAGTGTACAAGAGTGCGTGAAAAAGATCATGCGGGAGATGGTCTGGCATTCATCTTTGGTGAAGTTCAAAAAACCACGGTCACTCGCCTGAAGCGATGACCCCAATGCCAATGCGTGCCACCAGCTTCACGGAAATTCGGGCCGACGGGTTGGCGTTCTTCAGGTCCTTGATGAGCTGCGCCACGTCCTCCGTCGAGTTTATTCTTTGTTATCATGGGGAATCCTTCTCTTGCGCAAGAAGGGTGGTTCAGAATGTGCTGCTCGTTGGGAGTCAATTTTGCGCGGTTTGCCCCCCGATACGGGTAGTTCCTGCCCTGTGTGTTGTGGAGACGCTCAGGAAGCAACTGTTGCAGAAAATGCAACTGGCCGCAAGCTTCAAGTGTGTCATAATAAACGCGCGCGTGCCCTTGCGAATGCAGCTACTTTGAAGCGCCCCAAAGCATGCTTGCCTTGGTGGAGTCTTAAGAACCATCTGCCCAAGGACATGTCTGTGAAAATACGCTTGGAAAAGAAGAATGAGTTGCAAAGATGGGAGACTCAAGACAGAGAAGGCGTTTCGGTGCGAAACAAGACCCTCAGGGCTGCGGCTTGTCAGCAAGTCTTTAACTCTTGCGCCAGATGCGCCAGGAAAGTCTCCAGTTGCGAGGTAATAGTCTGGGCGATTAGAAAAACACTCCCCCGCAGTTACAGGAAAAGAACTAGGTTGCGGAATAACTTGTTCATTGGAAGCCGAGACCATTATGTCATAGAGGTTGTGGAAAAATCAGGAACAATTAACGTTTTGAAACTGCTCACCAGCTTCCATCAGGCACCAAAGAAGATTCAGATTACGTAATCCAGAACGAAGAAGATTTATACAAAATAGGCGCTCCGTCCAAATGGGTCGCATTGACCCCGCGCAATGTGTCCCATCAACCTCCAGGGTTTCCATAATTCTTACAATATGCAACTATTTTGAGATTCTGTTGTTGGAGTTTGAGGTTTTGAGACTTTGGGATGGTCTGGACTTAAAAGGATGTTCTGAAACTATAATAAGGGTGGACGGACCTGAAAGAACAAAATGCTCTCCGCGCAGATAAAAAAACTTCCTAGTCAGTTTGTTGCTGGTGTGTAACCTGGTCAGAAAGCGGAAAATGTATAGAAAGACTGGCAGGCAGGCAGGCAGGCAGGCAGGCAGGCCAAAAAAAACAGACAAACAGAAAACACGAGAAAAAAAGAAAGACAGATAGACAGACAGACAGACACACAGAGAGACAGACAGACAAACAGACAGGCAGGCAGGCAGGCAGACAGACAGACAGACGGACAGACAGACAGGCAGGCAGGCAGGCAGGCAGACAGACAGACAGACGGACAAACGGACGGGCAGACTGACAAAACAAAGAAACAATGAACGAAAGAAATAAAGAAAAAGAGAGAAAAAAAAGAAAGAAAGACAGAAAGAAAGAAAGAAAAAGAACCACGGACAGGCGGAAAGAAAGACTGACAGACAAAAAGACAGAAAGCAAGCAAGAAAGAAAAGGAGGCAGAGAACACAAAGAAAGAAAGAAAGAAAGAACGAAAGAAGGAAAGAAAGAAAGAAAGAAAGAAAGAAGGAAGGAAGAAAGAAAGAAAGAAAGGAAAGAAAGAAAAGCAAGAGAGAAAGAGAGAAAGAAAGAAAGAGAGAAAGAGAGAAAGAGAGAAAGAGAGACAGAAAGAAAGAAAGAAAGAAAGAAAGAGAAAGAAAGAAAGAAGGAAGGAAGGAAGAAAGAAAGAAAGAAAAAAAGAAAGGAAGAAAAAGAAAGAAAGAAAGAAAGAAAGAAAGAAAGAAAGAAAGAGAAAGAAAGAAAGAAAGAAGGAAGGAAGGAAGGAAGGAAAGAAAGAAAGAAAGAAAAAGAAAGAAAGGAAGAAAAAGAAAGAAAGGAAGAAAGAAAGAAAGAAAGAAAGAAAGAAAGAAGAAAACAACATGCAGACAGAAAGACAGACAGCCAGCCAACAAAAGAAAAAAGAAAGACACACACTCTCTCTCTCTCTCTCTCTCTCTCTCTCTCTCTCTCTCTCTCTCGCTCCCGCTATCTACTTTCTATATAGTCTATCTATCGACCTACCCACCTATCTACCTACGTATCTACCCACCTGTCTATCTATCTCTCTTTTCATCCATCCATCCACCCATTGATCGATCTGTCCATCTATCCATCTATCTCTCTTTCCCCTTATCTATCTACCAATCTACCAATTTGTTTATCTATCTGTCTGTCTATCTCTTCATCTATCGATCCATCTCTTTCTAATTTATCTATCCATCTATTTATCTATTTATCTACCTGCCTGTCTGTCTGTCTATCTACCATCCTCTTTCTCTTCTTATTCTTATATCTATCTAGCTACCCGTCTGTCTACCCATCAAACCATCTCTTTACTTATCTATCTATCTCTTTCTGACAATCTACTTTTCGAACACATCTATCTATCTATCTATCTTCTATCTCTCTATGTATCTATCTTTTTATCTATCCATCTCTTTGTCTATCTATTTATCTCTTTTTTTTCTCTCTCTCTCTCTTTATCTATCTATGTAGCTATCCAACTATCTGTCTGTCTATCTATCTATCTCTCTTTTTAAATCTAGCTGCGCCTGAGCTTGCAAAACTGCTGCGCCTGCCACAAAGTCTGCACCTGACCCTGGGAAAGTGCTGCGCCTGCTACGAAATCTCTGGCAAAAGTCGCGCGCCTGCCACACAATCTCTACTTCACCTTGCAAAAGTGCTGCCCCTGCCGCGAAATCTGCACCCGGCCTTGCCAAAATGCTGCGCCTGCCACGCAGTTGAAACCTTGCGAAACCTGTGCGTCGCCGTGCCAATGGGCCCGGCGCTGAGCCCGTACCCGCTTCGACCAGGCGCGGCGGACAGGCTAGCTTTTGCAGCTCCGGCCCGCGTAGGCGTTCTCTGCGCGCGCGGAGAACCACTTCCGCAGCAGCGCTTCTCGGGTTTGCTTGCAAAGGCGTTTGCCTGCTTAGCTTCGATCATGTTAAGACACAACAGCTACCGGCTATAAAGTGCAGAGTCGCAGTGCTGCCGCGGCCGGTTGTGCGCCAGGAGCGTAAATCTCGGGCTGAGAGAAGTGAACGATAAGGTAACATTGTTTCAACAGGAAAGGGGTAACGAGTATGTCAGTCGCTGGAGCTTTCTTATCCACCGACGTTGCTCGGCGTGTCGGATACTTACGAGAGGATAGAAGATCACCCGCCCCCCCTTTCACCACCCCCCCCGCCCGACATCTGATACATAGGGTTAAGGGGGGGGGGTCGAGCACGCACCGGGCGGTAATCTAATGACGTTCCACTAAAAATAGTCTTTGCAAAGCCGGTGTCGCAAAACAGGGGTTCCAGGCTCGAATCCCCCTGCCGGCTCTTTGCTGGTTCAGGTTTTCTGCCTGCCTTTGCCGAAAATCTGCAAAAATCTGTGTTTTTGACATCTTTGTGCGAGAACGTGGGTAAAACCATTTTTTCCGGAAAAATACCGGGGAGCGAAAGGACAACGCAAGGAAGCGCAGGGAAATGAGGGGAGGAAAGAAAGGGAAATGCAAGGACATGCAGGGGACGCACAGTTGACATGACAGGAAAGCAAGGGGAAATGAAAGGGAAACGAAGGGGAACTGAAAGGGACATGAAAGGGAAAGAAATATAAACAGGGGCAGTGAGGGGGGACTGCAAGGCAAACAAAGGACAAGGACACCAACGGAAACCAGGAGAGACGTACGGAAATGACTGGCAATGAAAGAAAGGGACATACATGGAAAATGAAGCGGACATACCGAGAAAATGACAGGGACATGAAGGGGGAATTGACACGAATGGAAAGGGACATGATGAGCGTCCTCGAAAAATGACAAGACATGAAAAGGACATGAAAATCGAGGCAACTCAGGGGGGGACATGAAGCTGCAATGCAAAGAGAGAGAGAGAGAGAGAGAGAGAGAGAGAGAGAGAGAGAGAGAGAGAGAGAGAGAGAGAGAGACTGAGAAAGAGACCAAGCTCGTTAAAGAGACAGAGCAGGAGGCAGAAAAAAACGAAGAAAGAAACAGGGAGAGAGACAGAAAGGGAGACAGAGAGAGACAGAGAGAGAAAAAGCGAAAGATGTCAAACTACATGCTTCACCTTTGCACTTGTGTTGCATGTGTGTTCACTACCGCAGGCCTTGAGCTTACTACTCCGCATGAGTCAAAAGGTTGGCAGCTGCAGGCTACATCGGTTGACTGTTTGTTTGAACACTACAGCACTTGCACTTGAAAGCAAAGTAACAACCAATTTTACCGTGGTAGCGGAGCTGAGACCCTAAACATAGGGGAGCTCCAGTAAGCAGTAAGTACTACAACCACAGCAACAGCAGTCACATGCCAAACTACTACGACATGTCAGGAGAAGCAGCATCAGCCTCAGCACAACAAACTACAGGAGCAGAGAACGGGCCAACAGCAGACACGGTAGGAGCCACAACTACGGGAGCAGGAACAGAACAAGACAACGACGTTCAGAGACTACACAGTTACTGCCACCACCCTTCTTCACTGGTGACTACTCCCAGTATGAAGAATGGCTGTTCAAGCTACAAGCATACCTCGGCCTCATAGACCGAGACTTCGACCTGGTGCTACAACTAGCACAAGTGGCTACACGACAGATTGAGGACACAGACATCAGAACACACATACTCGACCCTACACAAGCAAGCAAAGCAGTAGACCTCTCCAGAGATCTACGCTACATCCTCATCAACATCTGTCAGGGAGCAGTAGCTACAGTAGTAAGGCAAAATCGCTACAACGCAAACGGATGTGAACCACTACGACTTCTACACAACAGGTTCAGCCTACCAGTAGGAACAAGAAGCGTTGGCTACCTTACCAAACTACTGGAACCTACATTCAACGAAGCGCAGTTTGAAGAGCAATTTCTACAATGGGAATACGACATCAACCGCTACGAGAAAGACAATGGAACAGCACTACCAGATGGAATCAACATAGCAATACTACTCAACAAAACCAAAGGAGCACTGCAGCAACATCTCCAACTGCGAGCTGGACAGATCACGAACTACATCGAGATCAGGGCACTCATCTTGGACTACTACAAAACGATTTCAGCCTTCACGAGATCTACTTCAGCAGTAGGAACAAACTACAATGGAGGAGCTGCACCAATGG